GTGGCAAGTGTTGAAAAACAGCTTTTCAAGCGGATGTTCTTGATGTTTAAAAGAATATAATACTTAAATAAATTAATGATAAAATTAATGCTTTTAGTGTCATGATGAGGTAGTAAAAGTGTTTTGCTTTGGAATTGGACCCATATTTGAATTTTATTTTGGCCTTCAACCTTGGGTAATTTGTTTAGCCACTTTGAGACTCAGCTTCTCCCTATAAAGGAGGAGAATTACTTAAGGAAGAATTGGATGACAGGTTGGAGTGTTTGGCATGTATTTGCTCAAATACTGATCCCTTTTGTTTCCTTTTGTGTGTCATTAGTCATAATGTAAGTTTTGACCTTGGATCTAGACTGAAGTAACTGGTTAGTACCTTATATAAATTGGTAGTCAGATGATTGAGAATAGTCTTTCTACTGCCTTGAAGATTAGCTGTGTGCTGAGGTTTCTCACAGGGAGGGAAGAAATCTGGCTCCCTGCTGATTGATGGAGCCACAGTCTGGGTTAATTTTAGCTCAGGGAGGCCTACAGCAGCTTGGCTGGGCTTGGAAGCGGAAGAAACAGAGTTCATGGTTTTAGACTCCTACTTGCCAAGTCTTTGGATTCCCTCCAGAGCCAGGGCTGAGAACTGAGGCTGAAGTCCTAGTTCAGTACTTCACAAACCATGGCTGCTGATGGCCTGTATTTGATTACTAAGTGAAGGAGTAATGACTCTCTGCTGATGGCATGTTGGTGGATTCTGACAGTCTGCCTTTTCCTTGTCTTTTTCCCTATTTCCAGCTGCCAATTTGTAGTGTCTGAAGACCAGGACTACACAGTTCATTTTGCTGATCCTGATATCTTAGTCAACTGGGATTTTGTGGAACAAGTGGTGAGTAGCTCAGCTAAGCTTGTAAGCTGTTAGTGGGAGAAAGAACTGAGGAAATGGACCAGGGTGACACAGCAGCTGTTGGCTGGTTTCACTGTTGATACATTTTTCTGCATGGCCACACTGTAGACATTCCCCAGAGATCAGTCCTGGTTTCTCCTCGAGTTCGTTTTGTGCTCTCTAATTGGCTGGTCTGCAGGATTGGGGAATTGGAGGACTCTCATCTAAAAGGTATCAAAGCAGGGGCTCCTGGGTGGCTCAGTCGTTAAGCGTCTGCCTTCGGCTCAGGTCATGATCCCGGGGTCCTGGGATCGAGCCCCGCATCAGGCTCCCTGCTCTGCGGGAGGCCTGCTTCTCCCTCTCCCACTCCCCCTGCTTGTGTTCCTTCTCTCGCTGTCTCTGTCAAATAAATAAATAAAATCTTTAAAACAAAAAAAAGGAATCGTATATTGATTCATATATTGATTTTTGTCACTTTTTCCCTTTGTGGAACCTCTAAAATACCTTTTGTGTAGTTATATATGTGTATGTATATACATATATATATATTTTTGAAGATTTACTTATTGAGAGAAAGAGAGCATGCACATGTGTGTGTACATGGGGTGGGGGTGGATAGGGAGAAGGAGACAGACTCAGTGCTGAGTGGGGAGCCTCATGTGGGGCTTGATCCCAGAACTCTGAAATTATGACCTGAGCTGAAATCAAGAGTGGGATGCTTATGGGGTGATTGGGTAGCTCAGTTGGTTAAGTGACTGTCTTTGGCTTGGGTCATGATCCCGGAGTCCCAGGATCGAGTCCCGCATTGGACTCCCTGCTCAGCGGGGAGTCTGCTTCTCCCTTTGACTTCCCCCCCCCCATGCTCTCTCTCTCTCTAATAAATAAATAAAATCGTAAAAAAAAAAAAAAAGAAATGGGATATTTAACTGACCGAACCACCCAGGTGCCCATTGTTATTCTGTTAAGCCATTGTGGTTTCCTTAATGATTTACTTAAAGTGTTATTATATACCTGCTTTTTTTTTCTTTTAATATACCTGCATTTTTGAACAGTTTTGTGAAGATGTATTGAGTAGGAGATGTACAGGGTTGGGGATGGGAGAGAAGAGACTTTAACTTTGACAGTGCTATGTCAGTTTGAAAGCAGTGTAACTTGTGGTTCTGTTTTGTTTCAGCGCATTTGTAGCCATGAAGTGCCATCTTGCCCAATATGCCTATATCCACCTACTGCAGCCAAGATAACCCGTTGTGGACACATCTTCTGCTGGGCATGCATTCTGCACTACCTTTCACTGAGTGAGAAGACCTGGAGTAAATGTCCCATCTGTTACAGTTCTGTGCATAAGAAGGATCTCAAGAGGTGAGATGGAGACATTTAATAGATTAGACCCCCATCTGCTGACTCCTTGCTCTTTTCCATCTAAATGTCCATGTTACAGTGTTGTTGCCACAGAGTCACGGCAGTATGTTGTTGGTGATACCATTACGATGCAGCTGATGAAGAGGGAGAAAGGGGTCTTGTTGGCTTTGCCCAAATCCAAATGGATGAATGTAGACCATCCTATTCATCTAGGAGGTGAGTTCTGTTAATTTAGGGGGTAAATAATCCTGGTACATGCTTTAAGGCTACTGAGTATATCTTTCTAATCAGAAATTGAGCCTTTGGGGCAAGCCATTTCTAGTATTTCCAGATCAGTTTTAGGATTCTGGTAGGTTAGAGGGGAGTTTGCAGAGAGCAGCTTAACCCTTGGTTTCAAGTATGGTTCATTATATATATTTTAATTTTTTTTTTTTTTTAAGATTTTATTTATTTATTTGACAGAGAGATAGCGAGACCAGGAACACAAGCAGGGAGAGTGGGAGAGGAAGAAGCAGGCTTCCTGCCGAGCAGGGAGCCCAATGCGGGGCTTGATCCCAGGACCCTGGGATCATGACCTGAGCTGAAGGCAGATGCTTAACGACTGAACCACCCAGGCGCCCTATATATTTTAATTTTAAAGATTTATTTATTCACTTATTTGAGAGAGAGCAAGCGGGAGAGAGCATGAGGAGATGCAAGGTCTCCGCTGAGCAGGGAGCCCGATGCGGGGCTCAATCCTGGGACTCCGGGATCATGACCTGAGCCAAAGGCAGCCGATTAACTGACTGAGCCTCCCAGGCGCCCCTTAATTTTTCACTTTGTTGAAATGGTGCCTGTCAAGGAACTCTACAGTAGTCTAGTAGAAGAGACATACTGGTGGCCAGGCAATTAGAATATAGAATGTGAGAAGTATTCACAGTGAGGAAAGTGCACAGGGCTGTATGTTCTGTATTCCTTGCAGAAACGAGTATTGATTAAAGTGGCATTTTGGTCTCTGGGCAAAAGATATTTCTCAGTAAATAGTATTGAAACAATTGATTCTTCTCATGGAAGAAAAAGTTAGATTCCCTGTCTCATACCATTCATAAAAATCAATTCCTCATGGATTGAGTAACTGAATTTTTAAAAATCTAAAACCATTAAGAAAAAATATAGGACAGTATCTTTTTTTTTTTTTTTTAAAGATTTTATTTATTTATTTGAGAGAGAGACTGAGAGAGAGCATGAGAGGGGGGAGGGTCAGAGGGAGAAGCAGACTCCCCGCCGAGCAGGGAGCCCGATGCGGGACTCAATCCAGGGACTCCAGGACCATGACCTGAGCCGAAGGCAGTTGCTTAACCAACTGAGCCACCCAGGCGCCCAGGACAGTATCTTTATAAATCCTCAGGTAGGGATGGATTTTTGAACCAGGCTAAAACCATAGATGCTATAAAAGAAAAAATAAATGTGATTTTATAAGAATGAAATCTGACAAGATTCCTTGAAGTCAACAGGTGATAAACTAGGGGAAGATTTACACATTTTTAATTAATTAATTAAAGATTTTATTTGTCAGAGAGGGGCAGCACAAGCAGGGGGAGCAGCAGGCAGAGGGAGAAGCAGGCTCCCCGCTGAGCAGGGAGCCCGATGTGGGACTTGATCCCAGGACCCTGGGATCATGACCTGAGCCTAAGGCAGACACCTAACTGACTGAGCCACCCAAGTGTCCCAGATTTACACATTTAAAGCTAATGTACAGGACATACAAGTGTCCTATAAATTAGATTAACAACCCAGTAGAAGAATGGGTTAAGCATGTGCAAAGCATTTTCTAGAAAAGGATATTGGAATACCTCCCAAGAATTATAGAGATTTAACTTTGCTAAGAGTATGTAAATCAGGGCGCCTGGGTGGCTCAGTCGTTAAGTGTCTGCCTTCAGCTCAGGTCATGATCCCAGGGTCCTGGGGTCGAGCCCCGCATCGGGCTCCCCACTTGGCGGGAAGCCTGCTTCTCCCTCTCCCACTCCCACTGCTTGTGTTCCCGCTCTTGCTGTCTTTCTGTCAAGTAAATAAATAAAATCTTAAAAAAAAAAAGTTATGTAAATCAAAATGCCTATCAGATTGACACACACAAAAAAGAAAAAAAACGTTGGAAATACCAGGTTTTGGGAGGGGTAGGAAAATGAGTACTATTGTTCTTGGTGGCAGTATAAATTGATGTAGCCTTTTGGGGGGAGCAATTTGGTAGTATTTAAAATATGCACAGGGGTGCCTGGCTGGCTCAGTTGGAGGAACGTGGGACTCTTGATCTCAGGGTTGTGAGTTTGAGCCTCACACGGGGTATAGAGATTACTTAAATAAAACTTAAAAAAAAAAAAAAAGCACAACCTTTGATCCAGCATTTATATTTAAATATCATAAGGAAATTATTTGCACCAGAGAGCATGTATAAGGATTTTTTGTTAAAACGTAATAGAAGTTGACAATAAGCTGGATGTTCCATAAGGAACTTACTCAAAGTAGAGGGTATCATATTGTGGAGCACAATACAGAAGGTAAAAATTGGATCTCTATTAATATTTTGAGAGATTTTATCACACATTGGATGAAAAATGAAGAACAAAGCTTAGAGTTTATAATTTATGGATAAACCTTTATTTCTTTAAATGAACATGGGTATATAAATGTATAGAAAAAGATTTGATGAATACATATTGAAATTTGTAAATGGTTATTTCTGGGTGGGTACTAGGATGGGAGAGTGGGGAAATGGTATTTGGAGGGTTTCTCAAAAGAATATTGTCTTAAACTTTTGAAAAAGTACAGAAAATATGGGGGAGGGAAGTAAAGGAAATAAATCCTACACGATCCTTTTACCCAGGGGTACCCCAAAATTGTAGATTTTTTTCTATGCATGTATATTTTTGGGAGATTAGGATTAAATTTTCTAGTTTGGTGTCTGCATTTTATTCACGTAATGTATTTCTACATGTCAGTAAGTGTCCTCAGCAAACCATTTTTATTTAAAAAAAATTTTTTTAAAGCTTATTTATTTTTATTCTAAGTAATCTCAGCATCCACCATGGGGCTCAGACGCATGACCTGGAGATTAAGAGTTGTGTGCTCTCCCAACTGAGCCAGCCAGGTGCCCCAGAAAACCATTTTTAATGTCTGCAAAATTCTCTTTAATGAATATGCCATCATGTCATTAACTATTTCTTTATTATTGGACTATACTGGTTGGTAGTAGCTTTTTTGATACTACAGATGGTGATGTAATTATTGAATATTGTTCGGCTAAAATTTTTTTTTACTGCATCTTTTGTTTTCTTAGATTCTTTATAAAATGGGATCAGAGTTAGAAACCTTGTATTAAAGTCATTTTTTAATTATTTTTTAGAAAATTACGTTAAATTACTCCATCTTTACAACTGAGGGCAAAAAAGCTGTGTGTAAAAGTTCCTCTGTAGCCATGCGGTTGCTTTGAATGTTGCATTTTTGTGATCTTGCTGGCTTTCCTGTAGATGAGCAGCACAGCCAGTACTCCAAGTTGCTGCTGGCCTCTAAGGAGCAGGTGCTGCGCCGGGTAGTTCGGGAAGAGAAAGTAGCTCTGGAGCAGCAACTGGCAGAGGAGAAGCACACTCCCGAGTCCTGCTTTATTGAGGCAGCTATTCAGGAGCTCAAGGTAAGACGATGCCTGGAAACAGGATAGGATGGTGGGGATAAGTTACCTCGGTCCCACATTTAAGATAGTGACCAGGGAAAGGCTAAAAAAGCCAGTTTGCTCTGTGTTTTGGTGATGTGAGGGAAGGGCTGACCTAGTGTTTTTTTTGTGTTTTATTTTGACAGGGGGACCTAGTGGTTTTCAAAGTGCTCTCTGGAGCTGAAAGGAAGAAACTAAAATGATCTTATAGCTAGTTGAGTCACTGAAGTCGTCTCTTAGGTTCTGAGTTAAGCAAGGTAGACTTTTTTTTCCCTAAGAAAACACTTGGATTTATTTTTAGAGATGTTTTATTTGAGGGGCATTTTGAAGAAAGTATGGCCTATCCAGCAGGCCCTAGCAGTGCCTGCTGAGGATTTGGAGCAGCAGGAATTTCCCAAATACAGAATTTCCTAAGCTCTGTACCCTTTAGTAGGTGTCAGAATCCCTGGTTGTTGGGCTCCACCCTGAGAAATGGATTCAGTCAAGGCTGGGCGAAGTAGGCTTAATAATTTGCATTATAATGCGTACCAGGGTGATTTTGATGTTGTTCATCCTCAGACCATATTTTGAGAATTACAGATCTTAATTAGAGCAACGAAAGGCCTTGTTTATTGAGCGATTGGCATGTGACAGGCCCTGTGCGAAGGTACCGCTATTTACATTTATCTCACTTAAGCGTCATATCCTGGGGTGATAGATACAACTATCCCCTTTCATGGATGAGGAGATGGAGTCATGGGTTACGTAAGGTAATTTGCTTGAGGACATGTAACTAATAAGAGGTGAAGCTGATATTTGAACTCGTCTTTTCTGAGCCTTCTCTGGCAGGGTCCTGTGTATTTAATTTGTTTTTTTTCCTATAATGCAGAGTATTTGTTCAAGTGCATTTCAGAGAAGAAAAGCTGTATCAAAGTAGAGCTGTCCAGGGGTGCCTGGGTGGCTCAGTCGGTTAAGCGGCTGCCTTTGGCTCAGGTCATGATCCCAGGGTCCTGGGATCGAGCCCCGCATCTGGCTCCCTGCTCGGCGGGGAG